CCCCCCCTCCCTCCCGGCATCTCACATTACAGGCCGGCAGACAGCACTGTGGGATGATGTATCTTGGGCCGAAACCCCGGCGACCCTCGCGGTCGGAACGCCGCACGTATCCCGTCTGCGGTAGCGGAGCCGGAACGCTGAGAGAACATTCCGCAGGGTGACCTTGGACTTCCCCAAGTTCTCACTGCCTGTTCTTTTCTGTGTTTGTTTCTGTTGCTCTGACACTGACGTGGGAATGAGGAGGCGGAGGTGAGGAGCAGAAGTTCCATCTGTGAAGAGTTTCAGCTGCTGGTTCCAAGGACTCCCCCAGGGAACAAGCCTTCCTGACATGAAACAGGAGGCACGGATCAAAACCCACGTTCACGTCGCTTCAAACAACTTCAATTTCTCCAACAACCATTATCGTGTCGCTAAGCTTTTACCGTATAATAAAAGATAATGGGTCTGCCAGCCAGCTAAAGGCTAATCGCTCTCTGTTATGCATTTAATTAGCTACAGAAATGGCAGGAACAGGAAAGACACCCGCCCCGCACCCAGGCGATGTGCAGCTATGCAAGCCACCAAGACGCTGCATGCAAAGGGGACGAGGTGACACAACGCACAGGTGCCACAGGGCTCTGCCGGCACAGTCACAAACGCATCACTACAGCCGCCAACCCCCCAGTCCTGCCAGTTCTCTCACTTTATCAGACTTATCCAGTCCCTGAACTGTTTTCTCATAACTGAGCCAAACTCACGTACATCAATAAATCATGGGGCACTTTATACCGTAAATGCAAGCAATAAATTGTTTCTGTGTGCTTCTGACAGAAGGTATTAATGAATATTAATAATTCCAGGGAGGTTTGCTTCGTGGGGGGGGGCGGGGAGTGACCCGAACAGCCTTCATTATTTCATGCCGTAATTCGGCGCCGCCTTTTTCCTAAATGTCAGCGCGGCGGTACAGGCCAGCACGGGAAGGGGGGAAAAAGAGAGGAAAAAGAATCAATAATTCATGACATCATATTCAGATCGCTGACTTCATGCTGTTAATTCTAATTTATGAAAGCCCTGCTAACGAATGAAATAAATCCACATTAACGAGCCGGTGAAAGGTCCAGTTCGGAGACGCTGCCCAGTGTCGCATGACAGCGGACGGCCCGCTCTCCTGAGTCACTCAAGTGCTTCATTATTAAGTTACATTACTAACATTAAAGAGCCTCTCTTGGAGTACCTCGGGGGACGGAGACCCGTCCGGGGGCTAAACAGGAGCAGTGACAGGGCCCTTACGCTTGTGTCACCTCCCTCCATCCCAGCGGTCCTTATTCCCAGGCCAGCCCCCCAGGAGCAAGCCTCCGACCTCAGCAGGAGCCATGTGATCTGCTCCGGCCAATCAGCTTGCCCCTCTCCTTTCCCTCTGTGCATGTCCTTGGCTCTCCCCTGCCCTCCCCCATGAGGACTCCCTTTCAGCAGCATACCCTCCGTCACTACACTGTCACTGTCAACTCCGAAAGCTGCCATTCTTCTGGCCACTGTTCTAGCTGAATGCTGGCTCTTTTCTGCTGGCTTTGTCCTCCATCATCCATTCTTTCATTCTTCTCTCCTTTCATGGTCCCTCACTCCTTCCTTAACCAGTGTGTCTGCCTCCTCTTCATATAAAGGCAGTAATTTGATTTCGGAAGTGAGACCGTGGATTTGGGCAGCTGCCCGCCTTCCACGCCCCAGGACATCTCGAGGTGTGCCTACGGGACTCCCCGCCATTGCCACTCCTAAATTATGTTTGCTGTTTGGCAGGCTGCGGTTTCTGGCAGTAAGCTGTAAACCCAGAGCTGCAAGGTTTCCCCAAACCAGCGCTTTTGGGCTTCATGTAATTCAGTTAATCTTCAGGCAAGTTGCTTCACCAGCCTCTGAAAATTAACAACACATAGCTGATCTCAGAGCAGCTCCTGGCATACTGTTAGAGGGCAGACTTTCTGTCATTATTTAATTCTGTGGCTACACACCAGTGGCATGAACAAAGGACTACACAGAGGAGTCACCACCATGATCATCAGTGGACTACACAGAGGAGTCACCGTCACGATCATCAGTGGACCACACAGTGGAGTCACCGTCACGATCATCAGTGGACTACACAGAGGAGTCACCACCAGGATCATCAGTGGATTACACAGTGGAGTCACCGTCACGATCATCAGTGGACTACACAGAGGAGTCATCACCATCCCCCGGGAATCACCCACAGGAGTCATTCATACAGCCATAAGCACTAGCTGGCCCAAGGCCCTCGGAGCCATACTGAGATGCCTCTACACAGACCCCTGATGAATTCCAGTGCTCCTAAATCACCCGCTTGTCCATCAGCGTTCACTCGCCCGCCTCGCTGCTTTAACGGCGGTACGGTCTGCTGGGCACGTCTCCTGAGAACACACCCCCCCCCCCGGTGGAGGGAAGAGCACATGGGGAGACCTAACATCACTGCCGTAATCATCACCGCACACAGGGAAAGATCTGCTGCAGAGCGACCATCACTGCCCAACAAGGGGGCCTTTCATTTGCGCACGGAGCCCTGCTCACTAGTGACCCCCACTGCGCGCACACACACCTGCACTGCACCTGGGTGCAAAAGGGGCAGGGACCCCCCAACATGCTAAGAGATGATGTGTTTGACTGTGTGCAGTGTGCGCTACTGTTAGCTGCAGACTTAGGAGCTGGAGCTTCACTGCTGGCTTCTCCTGGCACCAGGACAGGCTGCAATTTCTCAGCCACCCCCCAGGAAACGCTTCTCAGCATATCGATTCACACGTAGCACCGCCCCAATCCCACCACTAGCCCAGCCCCCACTAAACAGAATAAAATACACCCTTCATTTGCATCTGAACCACAAGCGGCAGCATGCGAGTAGGTGTGTAGGTGCATGCGTGCGTGCAAGCGAGCGAGCGTGCATCCATGTGTGAAGCACTTTGTTTGCATTTAAATGTCAAAGGCATTTAGCGCTGCTTGCGAGCGCCGGCCGATGGAGCTCAGCGAGCTCAGGCGGCGCCAGGGAACAGCTTCAAGCGGCCGCGGCCGAGCCGGAACATTCCGGGCTCAGACACAACCAGCTGCTGAATATCTCAGGTACATGAGCAACAGAGCAGCCTGGCCCAACCAATGGTGCCTTCACCAGAGTTACTTCAGTGGTGGAAAATCTAATTAGGTGTCTGCTGCAATAATATTTAAATGACCCCCCCCCCCCAAAAGCAGACTGCCCCCTCCGGTGTCTGACAAATAACCTATATAACCGTGACCCATAACATTCTGGGATTTTTTTCTTCATCCATGTCAGTCAGCTTCCCAGAGGGACTCTATTAAAGAGGTAGCATGTGGCTCTTTGAATTAGGATGCTGTGCATGCAATCAGAAGGTCGCTGGTTCAAATCCTGGTAAGCAGGTGGACCCCTGAGCGAGGCCCTTAGACCCCAAGCATCACTCTCACCTGTGTATGTCCCATAGGAGAGAGCTATGTGAAAACTGAAGCATTCCAGTACACTCAACTGGTACAAATGGCACCCATCACCACGGCGGGAAAAAAAAATTAGGGACGGGCCGATCCACATTTTTGCCAATACTGAAGCAGATTCCAATACAAGTGCTCTTTTTACTTTGATAGTTTAATATACTAAATATATCATTTATACTTTATATATCAAGAATATTTTTAAACTAGTAAATACAGATGAAAAAATGTATGCCAAAAAAATCTTTAATTAGGCTACTACAAACATACATAACATACTGTTCCACCTCGTTTGTACGTCTTGTTTTAGAGGCATTTGCAGTTCAATATGAATATCTCCCTGGAGAGGATATGCACGTGGCGAACGCTTAAAATGCCCCACAACGTTTCCCCTACTGGCAACAACGTCACTTACACTAGCGACGCCCAAACCATCCGCTGCTTTTCACATATTAGTCGCGCTGCACAATTGCGTGCGCTTTCTTTAGTGGGATTTTCCGATAAATGCTACTCCCACCTTTCAAAACTTTGTTTTCACAAAGATTGCAAATCGCTGTGCTAATAGTTGTTGTTAAAAGCGTAAAATACTTCCAGATTGTGACCATTTTGTCTGATGTCGTTACGCTCCCCCTACTGTGAAGGGTATGTGCATGACGTCACAGCAGGCAGAACTGAGTGGCAGCCTTAGTG